TTTGAGAAGCATCCCTTTAAAAAAAAATCATTGATAGTGTTGTGCAGTGGGTGGTTGATGTCTGCTGATATCCTCATGTACGCTTTCAACTGTGCCACTTTATATCTGGTGGTCATTGTCGGTAAATCCAGTATATACCGCTTGGCATGACACTAGGTGTCTTTTGTGCAGCTGAGTATGAGTCTCATGGCCTCATTTTATACCCAGGCCAGTCTTTCTAGGTAAGTTTTGCTGACAGTGAGGTGGCTGTCAAGAGTCTAGTTCGGGTATCGGACATTACGGAGGATGATAGTGACTGTCCATGTTCGTACGCAGTGACCGCAACATGACCTTTAGCGCAGATGACAGAAACAGACTTCTCATAGAAATCCGTGATAGGTTCGTGTCGATAGTTAACGTTGCCATGATGACTACCCCGACTGAGGACTGAACTGTTCGAGTGAAACAAAACCAACGTAGAACGCGACTAGTGAGGAGTTGGGTCCAGGACTTGTGACCCTAGACCTGTGACTAGTTTTGACTGTTAGATTATAGCTTGTGTACATTTAACTGTATTGACGGTTTCTTCGTGTACTAATGTGTTAAGATGGACAATAGCATTAGTTCATGTGTGGTACCGCGTCCGACAAAGTGAGTATATTGTGTAGCAATTCACGTGGGTAGCTTGTAAGTATTGCAGTTATGCTGTTAGCAAGGTTGTTGTAGTATCTTGTGATTTGATCTATCCTGGCTCACACTCTGCAGACGCTCCACGGTCTTAATGTGGAGTCCAGTGGCAGAGGAAAGAGTTTGGGTCTAGAGCGGGTTGGGTTGAGCCAGGTAGGATCTGCAGAACGGGATGTCCCAGGGGAGTGAGGGCCGTTGTAAAGTTCTCACTGCCTTCGTTTAGGATCGGTGTTGCCCACTGCTCTTGGGGAGAACTGCCCACTGTATGCTGTTCTATACATTAAATGTTGGTGCGTGTGCTCTGTAAAGGTTCGACTTAGTGTGTTTAGAGGTAGATAGTCTGTTATAAGCCTACACAGCCAACCTATGCCGTCATGGTAGAAACTAGGTCTCCGACAGAAGCCCAGACCGAAATCTGTAACACTTAGTACACGTCCCTGATAGAGCAGAGTATAAGATGATAGAAGTAGAATATGAGATGACAGAATTAGAGTATGAGATGAAAACCATTGTCAGAGAATGTAGCAAGCTTCAGTGGATAACAAAAGACAGGATGACTTAGCTCAATTTTTATGTTCCGTTGGAATAAAAAGGACAGAAGGCAGAAATTAAAGTCTTTATGATTTACAATGTAACAAAGCAGGTGGAAAGTGGTAGAATTTTTTTAAATAAAAAAAAAAAAAAATCAAGTTTAGTGGAAAGAAATTAGACGTTGACTATAATTTCACATTGTCAGCCCAACCGCCCCCTGGGGGTCACTGCACGATCCCACTGGCGTTGGTAGCCACAAGTGCAAATGTGCACACCGGATCGGCCCAGGCGGCCACAGTAGCCTCAGGTTCAATTGTCGAAGGTAAAATAAACATATAAGTTTGGGGGCATCAAATGCAAACAAAAGAGAAATCAAAGGATTACACATTACACCGGTCGCCTTTACTTCACTGGACTTTACCTGGTACCCATTTTCGATTTTGTCCACGTCACTTTTGAAAAAAAAAAAATCCTGCTTGATTTAAAACCACGAAAAGAAGAGACAGTTCTGAAATGCGGTTGAAACCTGTTTCAAGAAGAGTTGGACTCGTAGTAATTATTCACATTTTCAGAAACTCAAACATGAAGCAAACTATATCTTAGTTATAGTCAGTTAGTGGTCAAGCCCTCATCAAAATATTATATATTAATAAAGTAACAGAAAATTTATTGATCGGCACTCATAGAAAGAACTAGAAAATAGAACACACTAGACAACATAAAAATCGGAAGCTTTAGTTACGTGCCGGGAATTCAGAATGTCACCTCCAGACGGTGTGTGCGATTCGCTATGGAAACAAGTGCACTAAGAACATGGTCAACTAGGCACACTCCCCCCCCCCCCTTTCCCCCCAAAAAAGGGTGTCTTATTGCCCATGTAAATCGTGCAGCTTGAAATCCACAACTTTGGAATATGGACAGAATTCATTTCGAACCATTGAAATGGCACCATAGGTTACAACAATTTATATTGAGGAAGCAAAAGCCGAACACAGTAGATCCTAATGCTTTGTCTAGAATACACAAACATTTCAGAAATGTATTTGATTGGAAGGTTCCGGTGTGTATACGTCATTTATTTATGTGAACGACTCAATAAAAAAAATAAAAAAAATGAACGAAAGTGTCGTAAAGCAGAGATTGACTGTTAATATTTTTGTTCTCACATATATCCAATCATCTATGTTAACTAGCAAATAAGGGGTATGTTATTAAAAAAAAGGATGTAAATCGAATTGCATTGAATAACATGCTAAAAGTTAGTTGCATATCTTTTACTGGATGTTGCAGAACTGACCCCAGCAATGTTAGCTGTTTGGATTTACTAGGCAATGTTATGTTCGGTATTTTGCCATTACGGCCTAAACTGTCGGCTGTTGATACACTTGTATAAATCAATGTCAATATGTCTGCTGCTAAATCTTCCACAGCTGTCATCGAACCAGCTACCTCGGAATTTCAAAGCTATTTCGCAACGCCTAAGCCAAAGACGCCGAAACTTGTAAAACATTTTTAATTACGTCGTTTTTTTTTTTTTTTTTTTTTTTCAAAACTAATTTCCTAATGTTAAGGTGGACGTAAATGCCACGGTTACATGAGGCATTTTGCCATACACTTTACCGTAGACCAAAAGTTAGCAAAATATTCGAGTGTGAATAAAAAATCCCCCATATTCTGGTTGTAGAATTTATTTGAGATCAATTGTAAGAAAACACTTCCACATCTTTGTTTCGACACACTCCTTTTGAGTTTCATTACTCTTTATCCATTTCGTATTCCTTCATTTAAAATATTATATCTTGCGCTGAGAGCCACACATGTTCAGAAAAAAGAAAAAAACTCACTGCTCTCCAACAAGCGTGTCGTAAAAGGTGACTAGTTAAGTGTTTATGAACTTGCCGCACAGGTCGACCCAGACTTAAATGAGTACTAGGTAAAGTCCTTGAAGGTAAAGGCGACCGGCGTCATGTTGACCACATCACCCATCGAGGGTCTATAAAATATTAGTCTAGCATCATATGCCATACGCCCCAATGGCGTGAAAAGGGTTCTTCATTTTTTTTCCTTCAAATTACGTGTATGCTGTATCTGTCTGTCTGTATGTCTGTCTCTCTGTATGTCTGTCTCTCTGTATATCTGTTTATCTGTATGGTATGCAGGGAGCATATCTGCCTCTGCCTTTCCCAGCATGCTTTGTGAGTCACTTAAAATGAAAGATACAGACATTAATTTGTCACAAAATGCGAACATTTTTCCTTTGAATTTAACAAGATAATTTAGTGGAGGATTTGGTGTAGCAACATTAATTTCCCATAACGCAACAATAAGACAATAATTTAGTTACAGCATTTTATTTACGCCAAAGACCATGCTGCAATCACTAATTGAAAAACTAGGTCTTGAACTTAAATATTAGGGAAATTTCTTTGAATTTTATGGATGCGGACAAAGAATAATTTAGATATAGCAAGATATGAACATCGAAGCTTGTAAACTTGTTTCCATTCTTCTTCTTCTTTTTCTTCTTCTTTTTCTTTTTCTTCTTCTTCTTCTTCTTCTCTTCCACCTTGTACCTCAGCAAAGTGTCTGGGGGAGATGTTGATGAGCTTTGTCAAGAGCACTGTTAAGACTGATGTTCATTTCTGTAAGGCTGTTCTTAGTGCCATCACTCCATATTTTCCGGGGTCTTCCGCTTGCTCTATACTTACACTTTAGCTGTCAAATTGACTCTAGTGTAATCACTAAATGAAAATTGGGTCTTGGATTTAAATATTAAGGAACATTTCTTTACATATTATGGATCTAGACAAAGAATAATCTAAACATAGCAAGATATGATCATCAAAGTTCTTAAACGTTTTGTTTTTCTAAAAGGAAATCATTCAACATATCTGACTGTTTACGCCCGAAGCATTTGTCCATCAATGATATCATCTGTCGTTACTGTTCTAGAAGTAAAGGATCCGTTTGTCGCCAGTGAATCATCTGACCTGCGATGCTTGATTTATTTTTTAACAGACCAAAGGTAAAAGTGGGAGGATCGACTTTTTTTCATCGGTGTTTATCCCATATGGCTCAGTCTCTCTCGGCAAAACAGATAGCGGCACATAGAGCATGACCTCCATAGCTCCGACGACGATCCTTGGGGATCTCTGTAAAAACTGCACTCGTGAACTGAACGATGCCGCAGTGAAACGAACCCACGACCTTCAGGGGGCGAAGCAAACGGTTTGATCACTTCGTCACGGAGCTCCCTAATTTTTTAGACCAGTCAATCATAAATACGAGTCACATTTCAGTTGAGTTGTTTCTCATTTTGCCTCTTCTAGAAACAACAGCAATCGTTCTCAATTATTTCCTCTCAAGCAGGACAAGTTTTCCTTTGGGAAAAAAAAAACACCGGGGAAAGGTGGAAAGGGGGCGGGGGTATTGACCAAGAGACACATTTTGCAACAGATAACAAAATTTGGGAGAATTAGTTTACATTTTTTTACAAGGGAAGGACCTTTTTTCCACACCTTCAGGCGCACTTAGCATATAGGGCTAGACGTATTTTATATAAACCAATATGCACTTGATGAATGATGTGGTCAACACAACGTCGATCACCTTTACTTCACATAAACTTTGTAGTTTAACAATTTTCGGATCAGTCACTGCGTTTGTGTGTGTGTGTGTGTGTGTGTGTGTGTGTGTGCGTATTGTTGTTGACAACCTGCAGTTATCTTTCCTCAATATTTTGCCTTGTGCGTTAATCCTCTATGTAACAGCAATATAATTATAATTTCTAATTATGTAGTTTGTTATGGGTCGCCATTTGCAATCAAAGTCATGAATACAAGTGTGACAAAGAACCATATTCCAAAGAACAGAATAAACAGAATAATATCAACCAAACGGAAGTACTTTAAAACTCCAGAAACTAGTGCTCTCAATAAGTAAAATTTCCCATTTCCTTCTTTGTGATTATTGGTGTGCTTTTTGTGAAAAGGAAGGTTCCCACGACAGTCTTCAAAATTCGTTTTAAATTTGCAGCATTTATCGAATGAGGAATCATCTACTGACGTGTTAGTTGTTGGTTCATGATTATTTATGTCAAATGCAGATGTCCGGACTTTGAGTAAACAAACGCCGTGTGATTTGATTGTCGACAAAAATGAATCGTCAGTTGCAAAAGGATGAGAAAACGACATGCCTGATGAATGCTCGTTTTGCTCTTTCTTCAGAGCATTAGTCTCGAGATGATGGTAACGTTGGATGAGAACGATTAGATTGGCTACTATACAAAATGCAGAATGGAGCAGAAGCGATGCCAGGTACATAATGAGAAGTGGCATACTCTCTGAGTTTGTGGGTAATTCTTTGGAGATCTCGCTAGTGTACACGGTCAAAGATAACAGAACGGTCACGGAAAAAGACACCCGCTCGCCGCTTCCCACAGGCATTAGGAATGCTAGAGATGACAAACTGGAGATGATGTTTACGGGAATAACAGTGTTCAGCAGTGTAAACGACGGCATGCGGTCGAGTTTCAATACAAACTTTACATTAGGTTTGCCATCAAGACATTGAGACAGCACTTCAGAAACTTGTATAATCCATTCGCCGTTTTTGTCGTATTGTCCTCGACTACTGTTTGCAACATCAGCCACTAAATTGACAGAATCACAGTTTTCTCCCGCCGTGAAGCTGAGGATACAGGTTTGAATGTCAAACGGATAATAAGTCATCTGCATTGAGCACTGGGAATACAGAATCCCACCAGGTAGCCATTCTGTTTCTCCGGTGTTATAAATAGTCAGAGGCGCATAATTGTCTTCAAATACGTCCCTTTGTACGAGCGAATTTGTCAAGAAAATACGAGGCCTCCATACGTCCAGTGGATCAGGATGCACCTTTGTCAGCCCACCGTATTGTGACGAATTCCATTGACGCAGCTCGTCTAGCCAGCTTACGGTCATCAGAACATTACTGGCCATTCGCTGCTGAACCTCGTCAACGTCCACTAGAGAAACTAGAATCAAAGAAAGGGACACAATCGTTGGTTCACTCAGATTCACCGTTGGTCTGAATCGGTGGTCGATGGACAAAATTGTCGAACTGAAGAGATCTTCTGCATTTCCTTGAGTACAGTTGGCCATGCAAATTCCCTCAGACATCGTAAGAAGCATGGCATATGTAAAAGATGAGTGTGCTGACTTGGCAATAACCATATTAGTTTGGCAGGTCTTCCTAATGTTCAGACAGCTAGTACTGTTAATCTGGTTACGCAACTGAGGAGACAAAAGTATACGAATTTTTATGAATTATTTTTCGCCAAATAATAATAAACGATACATCCGAATAAAAAGTTCATGTTCTTCCTCTGTTGTGAATGATTGATAGATCGAGAGAAGAGTTCTTTTAAAAAAAAAATGTGCCTTTGTTTTAGTTTTTCTTTAGTTCCATGCAGCGATGAGTATGATTTTGAATCAATAAGAAATAACATTCCAGTCTTGATTTAAAAAAAAAAGAGTATTCCAATTTTTATTGGACCTCTGCCATATTTTCCGTTTTCTGTTATCTTCATTAACTTTTCCCGTCAATTTAAAAAATGAGCTAGAGGTCTCCGTGGCAAAGAGTTCCAGCCGTTTGCCACGCGCTCTGAAAGTCGTGGGTTCATTTCAAGGGAAGCGTCGTTCACTAGACGATTTGTCCAGAGACTCCTCTGGATAGTTTCTGGAGCTCAGAGTTCGTGCTCTGTGCGCACGTTTCTAGTCGTTTTGCAAAGAGACCAAGCTGTCGGAGATAAAACGCAGTGCTGTAAAGTCAATCTTCTTGACCTTAATTTATCTAGACTGCTGTGATCTATTGGATCTTATACATGTTCACACAGGGCATTTTCAAATCTGTCTTGTCACGAATATACAGACAGACAGACAGACAGACAGACAGACTGACGGACGGACGGACGGACAGACAGACAGACAGACAGACAGACAGACAGACAGACAGACAGACAGACAGACAGACAGGGAGGGAGATAGATAGATAGATAGATAGACAGACAGACAGACAGACAGACAGACAGACAGACAGACAGACAGACAGACAGACAGACAGACAGACAGACAGACAGACAGACAGACAGACAGACAGACAGACAGACAGACAGACAGACAGACAGACAGACAGACAGACAGACAGACAGACAGACAGACAGACAGACAGACAGACAGACAGACAGACAGACAGACAGACAGACAGATAGATAGATAGATAGATAGATAGATAGATAGATAGATAGATAGATAGATAGATAGATAGATAGATAGATAGATAGATAGATAGATAGATAGATAGATAGATAGATAGATAGATAGATAGATAGATAGATAGATAGATAGATAGATAGATAGATAGATAGATAGATAGATAGATAGATAGATAGATAGATAGATAGATAGATAGATAGATAGATAGATAGATAGATAGATAGATAGATAGATAGATAGATAGATAGATAGATAGATAGATAGATAGATAGATAGATAGATAGATAGATAGATAGATAGATAGATAGATAGATAGATAGATAATCAGGCAGCAGAAGGACGGAGGGGCGGACGGATGAATGGATGGATGAATGAATAGATGAATGGATGGATGGATGGATGGATGGATGGATGGATGGATGGATGGATGGATGGATGGATGGATGGATGGATGGATGGATGGATGGATGGATGGATGGATGGATGGATGGATGGATGGATGGATGGATGGATGGATGGATGGATGGGTTAGATAGATACATAGACAGCTTAGTTGACTACACACTATGAATTATTAACTGAGATCTTTCAGCCACAAGAATGGTCTATCAGTAAATTTACGACAACGCCGCAGGAAATATATTACTGAAATCGTACATACCTTTCCACACTTTTTTACTTGAACATCACACACTTATATTGCTGCTTGTCGGCGTCCTTTAAATATCGTTGTTCAAAATCGGAGGATATGACTATTTTATAATGAGCAGTCGGATCGCTGATGTCCCCCCAAACGCGATTTAATATTTGCTTGAAGCTAAGCAATCTACTAGGGAGTTTTCGAACAAAACCTGCAACAAAACGATATGTGTCCGATAATTTAGTCCTGATACACAACATGCAGTGTTGTTTAAGAATGAACATAAATAAATATCCGAATGTTGAACTGAAACTACAGTTGTGGAACTGTAACTAGTCGCAATGACTAAAACACCAGAAAATAAATGTTGTGTTAATCGTGGCAACAGAACTATTTGTCCAGGCTCAACGTCATGGAAATCAGCTGCTGCTGCGTTATCAGTTAGGATGCATCTTTTCTTCTTTAAACAGAAAAAAAATTTTGATGTTAAAGAAGTGATTCTAACGCACCGTGATCGAAACTCACTGCTGGCTGTGTGGATTTTTTTCCGTGGTATGGTGCGTTGCGGGTCGACCCAGCCTAAAATGGGTGCCATAATGCATGTCCTGGGAAAGTAAAGACGGCCGGCGTATTGCTGATGACATTACCCACCTGGTGCCGATTGGTCTGTAAAAATATGGGTGCTCTTCCCATATGTTCGATGCGCCTGAAGGAGTGTTAAAGAAGAGAAGGAGCACACGAAAGAGAGAGAGAGAGAGAGAGAGAGAGAGAGAGAGAGAGAGAGAGAGAGAGAGCGCGAAAGAGAGAGAGAGAGAGAGCGTGAAAGAGAGAGAGAGAGAGAGAGAGAGAGAGAGAGAGAGAGAGAGAGAGAGAGAGAGAGAGAGAGAGAAACATTTGGCGCTGAAATCAAATTATTTTATTATCTGTCGATTATAATTTTAAATGCTTCGCTAACAGAAGCAACAGACAGTTCTAAGAGACGCGTCATTATCGACAAATTTCCTCATTACTGAACGACTGGAAATAGACCATCGGGCAATTTTCAGTTCAATAACGTAGCCATAATGCGCATTGTGTTGGTTTCGACAGTGGTATCAAGAAAGCCGACCGTCCAGAGAGCAATGGCAAACTACTGGACCTAAATTTGCCTAGAAAAACCACACAACAGCCAGGGGCTTTTGGGGTTGGTTCTGCAACGTCCTGTAAAGGATACACAACTAACCTAACGTAGCCATTTATTAACAACAGTTAAAAGATGCTTTGCTGCAACTGGAAAAAGATTTTTCTTGAAAACCATGGATTTTACACTGTGAGTTGTTCAAGATCAGGGCTTTTCTTAACTCATTGAAATAAATATGATGTACAGAGCTAAACTCATACTGTTAGAATAGACGAGAATGTCTAATGTTCAATAAAAACGACGGAGAAACATCTTATAACATTAGACAAATTACAACTTGATAGAAAAAAAAAAAAATTTTAAATCTAAAATTAAATCAGGTTCACACCTCAGAAAAAAGATATGTGAAAAAGCTAGTCAAGTGTCAAAAATGGACTAAGTTCGATATCAGACAATAAGATAGGATCTTGCATTCCAGGCCTTACAATCTCCAGTGGATTAGTCACAGTTACGATGGTTTGGTCATGTTTGCAGAATAGTTTGCCATCATGGCAGACATGAGAGGCTAAGAACGAGTGAACCAGATCTCTAGGGCTACCCAGTGTCCGCTGGAAAGACAACATCCGACAGTCCCTGACTGACAGAGAACTGGAATGGAACCAGGTCAGAAAGAAAACTGCTGATAGAGAAGTCTGGCGATCTCTATGGCAAAAATCTACACCACAAGGTAGAAAAGGAGCGACTTAGTAAAGTCAAAAGATAAAGTTGTTAGTAGCTAGTCCAGTTTCACAGCAAAACTGACCGTTCCCATAACTGCGCCATTCCTGTGAAAATCACACGTTCTTCGCTGTCCCTTGTTATACACTAACGTTATACATAGTCCCTGCAAAGTTATGTTATGACAATCTACATCACTGCACATGAAAAATTCCCATGTGTGCTCATTCCTCGGATGCAGCAGTCACTCCAAGATACTTTTACTTATTGTTCCCTTGAGTGTCTTATAATGTCTCTTGTCTCGGCCGCGAAGGTGGCAGAGACGTGCTTCACCATTCTTTACTCTCATGTAACGCAATCGAGTTAGAGCCAGAGATTCGTCATTATCCACTAGCCCAGTCTATCTCTCTCTCTCTCTTCTTTTACCCCACCAGGACATCGCACAAGCGATAAACACCCGATGACATAAAGTGCCACCATGTGGATCAGGATCACCCCTGGAGAGGTCCCAGAAACCGCGTTCAGCCATTAGACCATATTTATGACCCGGGCTATATTGCAGTCCCAGGCAAGAGCCAGAGTAGGGCTCCAAATGACGAAAAATTGCATCTCACAAGGAGACGACACAATTAAGCAAGACATTAGCCCAGTTCGTACAGCTTGATGATATCTACTCTGTCCATGCTTCTTTCCACATGCATTAGTGAATTGCTTGCCAGTTTGTCCGCTCGCCCGTTAGCCTTTACGCGAGCATGACCAGGTTTGTCGATCCAGGTGAGGCAGGTTAAGTGCGATTTTCGAATGCTTTCTACCCATTAAAAACGCATACTGCAGTTGCTATTTTCTGAATGAAGCAAAGTCTTGAAGTTTGCACACGCAAAGTAAATGAATAAGACACCCAATAAATGAATTCAAGCTAACAGTCCACTACCATATTTGCAGCTTATTGTTCATGCAAATAGTTAATTGCAAAAGCCAGTAATGCACCAGTAACACTGCATAACTACACTTAGTTCCTACTGTAATCAGCAAAGTTTGATTTTTTACAGTATATATATTAATAAAGTAACAGAAAATGTATTGATAGGTACTCATAGAAAAAAATAAAAAAAAAATAGAAAAACACGCTGGACAAAAAAAATTAATAAAAAAAAATCGAAAGCTATAGTTAACGTGCTTGGAATCGAACCTATCACGTCCAGACGGCGTGTGCGCCTTGCAAGGGAAACAAGTACACTAAGAACATGGTCAACTAGGCACCCACTACGTTTATTTATGAGATTTTTTACAAGATGACGTGTAAAAGTAGCCGAGAATCTTCTCAATGTATAGTCTGAGTCGGAGTCCGAAGAAGTTCAGCACAGTGCACAGGCTCTGTAGCATCGGCGAATATCCTGAAATACTTTGGGTATATTTTTAAACTTACAATTTACCCAGCCAGCGCCGTTAGGCTACTCTTTTAAATTTCCAACTGCCAACGGA